GCAGGTGAGGGGTTGGGGTGACGCGGGGGCCGTGCAGGTGCAACAGTGGGGCTGGGGTTGCGGTGAGGATGGGATGGAGCGGTGGGGGGGTGGGGGGAGCTCTGCGGTGCCACTCACTGAGGAGGAGGACGGCGCTGCCGGCGATGACCACGAGGGCCTCCAGGGCGACCCCGACACCGGCTGTGGCGGCCGCCAAGACCCCGTCCTCGCAGAGCCCGTCGCGGCCGCAGGGACACACGGAGACGTTGAGCAGCTGCTGCTGCTCCCGGGGGGGGATCCCGGAATCCCGCAGTAGCAGCGGCAGCGAGTAGGGCCCGGCGGGCAGCTCTGCCAGCACGGCCAGCACCGCGTGCGTCACTGCGGAGGGGATGGAGGGGCACGGGGTCAGCGGGACCAGCCCAGTACGGCGGCCCCCCGACCCTCTTCCCCCCCTCCCTCACCGTTGAAGCGGGTGACGCTCCAGTTGCGGGCGAGCTGCGGGTGCTGGGGGCTGAGCTGGAAGTGGAAGGGCGCTCCGTGGGGGGGCCGGTCCCGATCGTTGGCCCCCAGCAGAAGGGTCCCCCCCCGGCCCGGCCGCCCGCACACCGCCCCCGACGGCGGCTGCAGCTGCGGAGCGTGGTCGTTCACCTCCACGATCTCAATGGACAGCGTGCCCGTGGCCGAGAGAGGCGGGTCGGCTGGGGGGGGGGGAAGAGGGGCACGGAGAGGACAATCAGGGGGAGCGCCCAAAGGTGTGGGGGGGAGACGGAGAGGGGGAAGAAGGGACGGTCACCGTCATCGCGGGCGAGCAGCAGCGCGATGTACCAACCGCCCTGCAGGAAGGCGGATGGATCCCGCAGCTCCCGCTGGGTCCGCACGGTGCCGGAGCGCGGGTCGAGCTGCAGCCATCCCGCCGGGTCGTACAGCAGCGCGTAGCTGTCGGCAGCGGGGCGAGGAACGTCGGCGTTAAGTTGCGAGTGGTTGTGCCCCCCTCCACGTGCGCACCCGAAGGCGCCGCGCGTCCCGTCCCCCCGCCCCGCACGCTCACGTCAAGGTCTGCGGGCGGCGCGTGTCGGGGTCGCTGGCGGTGTAGGTGGTGACGGCGGTGCCCGGTGGGGTCCCTTCCAGCACGCTGACGCGCCGCGGGTTCTCGCGGAAGACGGGCGCCTCGTTGACGTCCCGCACCCGCACCCGCACCGTGGCCACCGCCCGCGGGCTGCTCGCGACCCCCGCTTCCAGCGGCCGCTGGTTCTGCACCGACACCGTCAGCTGGAAGCGGTCCCGCACCTCGTGGTCCAGCGGCTGCGCAGGGGAGGGAGTGCGGGGTCAGCGGCTGCGCCGTGCGTGCCCACATCCCCCCGGCCCACCGCCCTGCAGCGCACCTTGGCCACGGACAGCACGCCGTCATTGGTGTGGGGGTCGGTGCGGATGGCGAATGCCCCCTCGGGGTCACCCTCCAGGATGGTGAACTTGGCCGCCCAGTTGGGCGATCCTGCCAGGTCCTTGTCGTGCACCAGCACACGGCCCACCTCCACCCCCACCGCCTGCTCCTCCACCTCCATGGAGAACTGTGGGAGAGGGGGAGGAGTTGGCACCTACCGGGGGGGGGAGGGGGGGCCCACACTCAGCCCTGCCCCACCCCGACCACCTCCTCCTTGGTGAACTCGGGAGCGTTGTCGTTGATGTCCTCCAGGTAGATGACGGCGGTGGCGGTGGTGGTCAGCCCATCCCCAGACATGTCAGCTGCCTGCAGTGTCAGGTTGTACACCGCCACGGCCTGCGGGCATGGGGATGGCACTGAGCCCACAGTCCACGGAGCCCCCCACACCACATCTGGCCCCACACATGGCTGTGGAATCCCCCCCCCCTCTCCCCACACACACCTCACGGTCGAGGCCGTCCCTCGTGGTGCAGATCTCCCCGCTGGAGGCGTTGATGCTGAACATTTCCCCATGGCCCTGCTCCAGGATGGAGAACCGCAGCGCCGCATTGTCCGTCTCAGGGTCATCAGCATCAGTGGCCTCCACCGTCAGCACGCAGGTCCCTGCCGTCACCACGGGGCTGGGGGACCACTTATGGGGCCGGGTTACGCCCCCCCCAACCCATCGACCCCCCCCAGCTCAGACCCACCTGGCGCAGCCCCCTCCACCACGCGCCCGGTGAAGACGTCGTGGCGGAACAGCGGCCGGTTGTCATTCTGGTCCACCACGATGATCTCCAGGTCCGTGGGGTCCTCCAGCGTTGTGCCCCCCAGGTCCAGCGCAAAGGCCTTCAGCTGTGGGCACACAGAGCCGGGGGCTGGGGATGCAGCTCAGGACGGGGGGGGGAGGGGGGGGGGGCAGGGCTGTGCAGCATCCTTACCCGGAACCGGTCATTCTGCTCGCGGTCCAGCGTGGCGTTGAGGAACACTTTGCCACTGAACTTGTCGATGGAGAAGATGCCCAGGGGCTCCTCATCCACTCCCGGCCCCTTGATGCTGTAGATCACCCCCCCGGGCTGCTGCTTGTCTGACTTTATCTGTGCAAGGAGGAGCGGGGCTGGGGGCTGTCCTCCCCCGTGCCATGGGGGTCTTTCCACCCCCTCCCCCAGCCCTGCCTACCTGCACCAGGAGGTGGGGGATGCGTTTGTGGTTCTCGGAGATGCTGATGGGGGGGATCACCCATGCCCTCTTCACCCGCCGGGACCCCTCATGGTGCCGCCAGCCGGGGGGGCTGCCCAGGGCTGCACTGGCATCCTGCAGGGGGGAACGTTGGGGAAGAAGGAGTTGTGCATTTACATGGGTCAGGAACACAGGACTGGGGGGGTAGGGAGGCATGGGGGCTACGGAGATGAGGAAGAGGAGCAGGGGCTGCAGGGAGGCTGCAGGGTGGTCACAGTGAGGTGCAGAGCTGCGCTGTGGGGTTGGGGGAGTCGCAGTGAGGCTGAGATGGGGCCGACCCACAGCCCCCTTTGTGGGAACTCGGGGCAGGTGGGGAGGGGGTGGCTGCGCAGTGGGGGACAGCCACCATGTGACAGCCTCTCCAGGGCTGTAGGGCCCAGACCAGAGCCCCAATGGCCCCACAGTACTCAGGGCTGAGGCCACACTGAGGAGCTCCGCACAGGCAGTGGGGTGTGGGGGGTCTGGCGGCACCGCTGGGGGGGACTGAAGGCAGTGGGGTGATTCCAAGCCCCCCCCCCAAGTCCCAGCTCACTGTTCTCCGACATACAGGGTGAGAAATACCACAGTGCTCCCAAACCCCATCCCCGCCCCCCCCGGGAAAGTGCATCGATGGGGGCCAGGGCTCCGCACCCCCCACCCCACCACTTCCCCAGCACCACCCCGCTGCCCCCCACCCCCCGACCCCATCCCTTACCCTGGCGCAGAGCGGGGCGAGCAGGCAGGCGAGCAGCAGCGGGGGCCCCATGGCGCAGCCCCGGCCCGGAGCGACAATAACGGCGGGGACGGCTGAGTGACAGCACATGTGCTGGAGGGGCCGGGCCCCCCCGGCCGGCCTGCAGCTGCCCCGGCTCCCCCTCCCCGCTCCTCCCGCCCGCCCGCACCGCGGGGCCCGACGTGGCGGACGGCTGCGGGAGGGAGCGGGGAGGTCGGGGCCGGCCGCGGGGAGGGGGTCCCGAGATGTGGGGGGCGATGGGAGGGGTGTGGGCTACGGGACCCCCCCCCCGCGCTCAGGAGGGGAATGCGGCAGCTGTCGCCGGGTGCGCCCCGGGATGCCGCGACGGGGCGGGCGGGCAGAGCCCCGCTGCTCCCCTCGCTCTGCACCGGGCCCGGCCGGACCCGGCCCCCCCCCCGCCTCCGCCTCCCGGAACGGCCCCGCCCGCCCCGCGGCCGCGTTGCCGGGACAGGTGCGGGGCCATCTGTGCTGACGGCGGGCGCTGGGCGGGGGGCCAGGGCGGGTGGGAGGGGGGCGGTGCGGCCTTCCCGGCCCTGACAGCACCGGCCCCATCCCCATCATCATCATCCCATCCAAACCCCCATCCCATCCCATTTCCAAAAGCCCAATTGCCATTATCAGCCCCATCTCACCCCCATCGATTCCATCGCCATCAGCCCCATCCCCATCAAATCCACCCCCCTCAGTCCCATCCCATCAGCCCCGTCCCCATCAGTTCTGTCCCCATCGATCCCACTTCAACCCCAACAGCCCAATCTCTGCTATCACCCACATCCCATCCTCATCATCCCCATCATCCTCATCCCTAACTCTATTCAACCCTCATCCCCACTGACATCCCAACTCTATTCTCATTCTCATCAGCTCGTCTCATCTCCAACAGCATCATCCTTGCCCCCATCACCATCAACCCCATCCTCATCCCCAACCCCATCCCATCCCATCCCATCCCATCCCATCCCATCCCATCCCATCCCATCCCATCCCATCCCATCCCCACAGCTCGGTGAGGTAGTGGCACCAGGTGGCAGCATCGCTCCGGCCACCGCTGTCCCCGCACCCAGGGGGGGCCGCAGCGGGAGCGGCGGGGGCGACCGGGGGGGGCGGGCTGCAGCCGATGCCCCCTCCCCAGGGCTGGGCAGAGGGGCCGTGTCCCCTGGCCTTTGTCCCTGGCAGGGGAAGATGCGGCGTTTTGGTGACATGGAGTGGAGTTCTCGCTTTTGAGAGTGCCCTAACCACACTCAACCCCCCCTTTCCCCCTGCACAGGGCATCTGCTGCAAAGCTCTGTGGGATGGGGGGTGGGAAATGGGGCACGGAGGCAGGGAACAGGGACAGGGGACAGGGCAAGGAACATAGGACATAGGACAGAGGATGTGAGACATGGGACATGAAGAAGGACATGAGACATAGGACACAGGCTGGGGACATGTGAGAGGGGACGTGGGACGAAGGCTGCCCTCTGCCCCCATACAGTGAAGCCTGGGGGTAGCAGGGCTGGGGGTGGCTGAGGGGACACAGTGCCACACAGCCCTGGCACTCACTGGCCTGTCCCCATCTGTCTGTCTGCTCCCACCCACCCACCGTCCTGCTGCCACCCCACACACCCCTGCAGCCCCCCGTGAAGGAGATGGATGGCTTCATGGCCACCACACGTAATGGAGTGGTTGTGTACATATGATGGGAGCGTCGATGCAGACGTGGCTGGCAAGTGAAGTGCTGGGAGACTCAGGGGGGGTTGCACGCAGCCCTGCACCCCCAATGTGGGGGGAGCAGAGCACGTGGCTTTGGGACACACATCCCCACATTGGTGCTCCACGCACCAAACTCTGCCTCGCTCAGTGGGCATGGAGATGGACCTCACATCACCAACCCCATCCACAGGGACCACGGGGCACCCCCAGGCCGTGTGAGCCCCTCACTGCAGGGTGACAACCAGGTGTTCTGCACTATTTGCTACCTGTGATCATCCATCAAAGCGATCGATCGCGCTCCTATGGAGTTTTATTAATGATCTTGTCACGGCGCCGGCGCTGGGTGCCGGGCTTGTCGGGGATGATGGATCATGAAGAGCTCTCGCTGCGATTTATTCTCCGGTGACCTTGTCTCTCCCCATTGTTGCTTGCTTAAGAGTTATGAATGTGAGACATGATAATTTGATATTGATCTATTTGGTGAGTTACAAAATTTACTGCGTCGCTGATGGCGTAACACAAAGGATCGGATGGGGCTGGGAGCCCTCCCCGTGCTGGGGTGAGCCGGGCACGGTGTTCCGTGCCACCAATACCTGTGCTGCCCTTCCCTTGTGGTTGCTGCGTGTCCACCCATCTCATTTTTGGGGGCTTTATTCCACGCTGAGGAGCGGAGAGCCCTCGGGGCAGAGGATGGGGCTCCCAGGCTGCGCACTACGCCGGGTAGAAGCGCTGCAGGAGCTCCTTCTTGTTGACTTTCCCCATCTGGTTGCGTGGGATCTCCTCCACCACTATCAGCTCAGTGGGGATGGCGTAGGGGGCCATGGTGTCCCTGCAATGTGAGCACACGCTGTTAGAGCCCACCCGAAGCCCCTCACCGCTGAGATGCCCACCCCTGGGGGCTGCTGCTGAGGGTGCGTGTCCCTCACTGCGTGTCCCCAAGGATGCTGACAGCTGTCCTGCTGTGCACAGCAGCGGTGTGGCACGATGTTCCCGTGCCCTTTGCAGGGCACAGTGGGGAAGCTCTGCCTTCTGTGCTGTGTGTCACCGAGCTGGGGCTGTGCCCAGCCCCCCAGCAGTGTGCTGGCACTGATGGTGACACGAGGTGCCAAGTGTGCCTGTCGGCGTGGCCCCGCTGCCATATGTGTCATGAGAGCCACAGAATGAATCACGCTGAAGAGGGACATGTGTCTCCTGCCAGGGAGCGAGAGAAGGGCCGAGCAGATGGAAGTGATGTGAGAAATAATGTGGAGAGACAGGGCGAGGGAGAGCAGTGCCCACAGCCATCCCCTCCCCAGCATCAATGGGACACCGGGACACCAGGTGGCACAGGGGGACCTGGCAAAGCCCCAGTGGCACAGTGAGGGTTTGGGCTCTTTGTTTGGCCCTGTCCCCCCACTGTGACTGCCCCAACCCTGCTGGTTGCAGCAATGCCGGGAGCTCATCAGTGCTGCTGTCTGGCAGCAGTGAGTGCAGGGTGCTGCAGCCCCCACCTGGCCCATTCCTTCAGCTCCTTCACCGACAGCATCTCCCCCCTGCGCAGCTGCACCACGGCGCTGACCCGCTGCCCCCACACCACGTCCGGGGGTCCGATGACGGCCACGTCTGGAGACAGAGCAAAGGATGTGGGCTGAGGGGCTGGGAGCTCATTCCAAAGGCTGATGGAGCTGCTCTGAGCCCATGGCCAGGCTGCAGGCTGCAGGCTGCAGGCTGCAGGCACGGGCCCCAGCGCAGCCCCACGGCCCCACAGGCTGCCTACCTGTGATGTGTGGGTGTGCGAGCAGCTGCCGCTCCACCTCCAGAGCACTGATTTTGAAGCCCCCGTTCTTGATGATGTCCACCGAGGTGCGGCCCTTGATCCAGTAAACACCATCGTGGTAGGCTGCTGTGTCTCCTGGAAAACAAAGCAGGATCCCTGAGAGCTCCCCCTGCCATCCCACACGGCATCCCCAGGGACACCACGGATGGGTGCAGCCTCCTCGGGGACGCACAGAGCGTGGCGGGTGCTGGGGCTGCTGGAATGAGCAATCAGATGGGGGGCAATGTCAGGAAGATGAGTGCCTCACTGGAGGCTCCATCCCCCCTGGGGTGGGCGCTGGGGGGGAAGGTGTGTGCTGGTAATTCCTGCTGGTACGGGGTGGGGGGGGGGACGAGGCTGTGGGAAGATTGAGGAGGGGTCACGACAGCGCAGCCCGGCTAAATGCTTAACAAGCTGTTGCACTTTGATAGCTACTTAAGATGATTACTCACATCCTGCTAATAGCGCCTTCGCCAAGCGGTGGGCGAGGAGGAGGGGGCTGTGCCTTCAGATGGCAGGGGGGCTCGGAGTGCCGCCCCCCTTCCTCACCTTCATGGCACATCTCTGCCTTTGTGTCTCCCTGCTGCGGAAGGCAGCTCCCAGCATCCTGCCCCCTGCTCCCAGGGGACAGCAGAGGTGACAGGTGAGGTTTGGAGCACTGTGCAATGACACCAGCTCCCGAGCCGTGCTCTGCTGCCCATGCATTCCCAGCACAGGAGCAGGAGGTGCACACGGATGTCACCCTGCTCCTGCACCAGCAGCTCTGGCTGTGGCACAGCTGCTCCCTACCACCTCTCTGTGCAGCACCGTGAGCTCCTCAGGGCACAGCCATCGATTCCTCCCTTGCAGCCACATGGGGATGGAGATACGGGTTGGTGAGTCTGCACCCTGTGACCCCACACCACGCTCCTCCCATGGAACAAAGCCAGCAGGCAGCAGCAGCCTCAGGCACACGGCACAGCGCCGGGGCGCAGCTGATGCTGCGAGGCCGTGGGATTATTGTTTCCCTGACAGCAGCCATCAGCACTGCCTTTGGATTTGTTTCAAGATGCTCAGCGGGCATCTGCTTGGCGAGGTGCTGGGGCTGCGCTTTGCTGTGTGCTGAGGAAGCCAAGCTGGGGGCAGGGGACTTGGCGAGGCACCAGGGCACAGTGCTGAGCCCCAGGATGGGGCCGGGCAACCCCAGGTGCTGCCTACATGGAGAACCTCCATGGAACACCTCCACCTCACGGTGCTCAGCCCAGCAGGCACTGAAGGAAGGCGTGTAACCGTACAACCTTTGCCTTTGGTTTTTGGGGTGAAAGTGCTTCTGTTTATAAGGGAAGGGTTGACTACAGAGAGTTCCTTGGATGTGGCTGCTACAGTCACACGCATGCCTTGGAAACCCTTGAGTTGCAATGGAAACCCTATTTCCAAATGCAAGCCCCAGAGATTTCTTCAACGAGTTTCACGTTGCAAAACGCTTGTTGCAAAGATGGAAGAGCCCTCATGGCCTTTGGTTTGCAAAGCAGAGAGGTCTCCCAGCACCAGACCTCGGCTGAACAAAAGACTGCATGGAGCAGCACTGCAGAAGAAATGCTGCCCAGTTCTTGTGCTAACAGTCCTGCACGATGGTCAGCGCATTGCTGGCAAACACTGCAGTGCTACAACATCAAAGGTGCCACGAGCAAACATTTGGGCAAACTGCTGGCTGGAGAAATGAAATGCTGGAGGAGCTCTGAGACAGAAGAAATGCACAGAAGGGAGCCTTGCAGGTGAACCCAGGGGAGCAGGGACTGGGTTGGGATGCAGAGCCAGGGCTGAGCTGGGAAAACACAGGCAGACGTCAGATTTACAGAGCACAGCCAATGGAGAACCCGTTCCATGGCTCCACGATCTTTGAGGACCTGAAAGGGTCCATTCTGTGACTCTATGATCTGGAAGGTCCTTCCAACCCAACCCATTCCATCGCTCCATGACCTTCAAGGACCCTTCCTCCCCAGCCATTCCATGGCTTTATGATTCCATGGCAATGACACCCCTGCAGCCCCCGGTCCATCCATCCCTCCTGGCACAGGAGCTCCCAGCACAGCCCCAGATGCAATGCTCAAAGGTCTCCTCCACTGCTTGAGAGCAGCTGTGGGAGGAGATGGGAGCGGACAGGCAATCAGCAGGTGAGCACTGAAGGACTCCTGTGGGAATTAATCCATCCCCCCCCAGCAAAGCGCCCACCCTGCGGGATGGGGCTGCGTGATACGTGCGCGTTGCGGACACACACCTTTCCCTCCCCCTCCACAATGCAAACTGCATCGATAGATCCCCCATCTGCTGGCATACATCACACACTTCACTCCGGTTTATTAGCTGGAATAAATCATAAATATTTCATTATACATCAACGAGGCTCGGCTGCGGGAAGGCGCAATCCATCACCTCGACACTCCTCGCGACCTGCCACCACGCAATAAGCTTTCCAGTCTATTAAACAAGATTGATACAGTGTGCTGGGATGGACTGGGGGGAATTTATTTATGGAGCAATGGAAGAGGGAGGGATGGAGCACACGGCGATGCGTGGACACGCCGGAGATGCTCCCATTACCTCCTTGGAGATGGCAAAGGGTGGAAGCTCCAGCTCTGGGGGGTTGCGTGGGGGAGCAGCTGTGTGCGTAAAGCTCTGACCCTGCACTGCTCTCACTGCAGTGCAGGTCACTTTGTGCTGTGCTGGGGTCCATTGGAGGCTCTGAGGGCGATGTATGAACACGCACCTATCTCATGAAATGCTAAATGATAGGCTAATAACAGAAGCAACTATAGGTTGATTTATGGCATTGGGATGAATAATGTGTGTCACTGCTGACAGGCATCTTGGCTACCAACAGGCTGCTCCAGAGGTTAGAGAACAAATTGTAGCTAATTAGCAGCAATTAGCACCTCTGAAATGTGGGATTTGGGCTCTGTGTGGAGCAGGGCCTCATGCAGGTTAACTGCTCTGGGTGCAGAGGGCTCTGTGCTCACCTCTCCTGTGCATTCAGCATGCACAAAGGAGCCCCTCAGCGCCCTCCCCTCCAAACGTGCAGGCAGGATGTCCCAGGCAGGAGAAGCAAAACTCCCAGACGATCAACAGCCACAGCCACACCAGTGCCAGGAGGAGAATAGAGATGGAGGAGCCCAGAATCCAAGCCATGTGCCAAGAGTCAAGCTGGCTGCAGCATCTCCTCTTGCGGGGCTGCTGGAGCGAGCTGCTGCTGGGACAGAACTGCTCACATGCAGCAGGGCGATGCAGGGCAGGACGGAGCTGCCTTGCCCCACTTCTCTCCTGCTCCACCACTGAGCTCAGGGCTCCCTCAGCTGCCAGCACACCAAGGGCAGTGGTTGGTTTGTGCTGCCAGCATTAATAACGCATCAAAGCTGCTGGAGGGGGAAAGAAAGAAAGCAGGGGAGGGGGAGGCTGGGACTTCTTTACGAAATGCATGCATATGGATAACGCAGCAATTATTAATGAGGAAATCATCTCCCTCCTCAGCATCTCCCAGGGCTCCAGCTTGCTTGGGTGAAGTGCAAAAGCCCCTCCAAAGGGAGCGGATTCTGCAACCTGCAACCCAGACCCCCTCCAGATGCAGAGCCTCACCCCCCAGCTCTGCTCCCTGAGATTGAAGGGAGGACTCCCCTATCTCCCAGATGAGGGCTTTGCCTTCACCCAGCCCAGCACAGCACTAGGGGGGGGTTGCTGCTACCTGTGCTGCCAACGGGATCTGGTATGGGGATGGTGGGAGTCTGCAGCAAAGACAGATGTCCTAAAATGACCACATATATGGGGTAGGGTGCTCACAACACTGGGGGATGATGGGTGGCTGTCACCCTTTGCAGACCACTGAGGCAGAGCTGGGCTGTGAGGCTGCTGCAGATCAGTACCTGCACGAAACCTGGAGGTAATTTAATGGCTCACAAGAAAGGAAATAAATCTATTAGAGCAGAATCGCTGTTTGTTTACGTACCTTGCCACGAACACCACCACGAGCAGCAGCAGCAGGTGGATGTGCAAGCACCATTTATTTACATAATAAAATTGCCAAGGAGATTTGCAGCTCAGGGGCATCCTCACCTCCCTGTGCACACGCCTGGCTCCCACCAGCACTGATGGCACACGGGCAGAGGATGGACCCCGTGCCCACCCTGACTGCCCTTCCCAACAGCTGTGAGCTCAGCAGCTGATTCCCCGCTTCCAAACTCCCGCACACAGCACTGGGAAAAGGAAAAACAAGAAAAAAAAAGAAGCCCTGCTCAGCCTGGAATGAATTCGTGTCACGCTCCACGTGGGGATGTCTGTTTGCATTCTGCATGCGGCGGAGCTGCGTGGTGAGAAAGGGCAGAGCCCTGCAGAGATGAAAGGCTGCACAACCTCCCCTGGCATTTCCACCTGGAACAAAACTGCACCCAAGGGCACCTCCCAAAGTGCCGTGCTAGCAGGGCACCACTCGCTGAGCACAGATGGAGCTGCTACCTGCAAGGAGAGAGCTGCAGATAAGAGAAACCTGATTGCTGGCTGGTAATCCTGAGCCCTGCTCCACATGCTGCTCCCAGGGCACACCGGGGACCTGCTGCTGGCCTTGTCTTGCTGATACATCAGTGATCCCTCCACTTCCCAGCTGCAGTCTTACAGCTTCTGGAGCTCGTTGCAGCAGGGCAAGATGCCAGGATGATGCTTGCTGACCCCACACTGTGCCCAGGTCTCCCCTCACAGCTTGCTGGCTCTCTTAGCTCCATTACTGCCCTGCAGTGCAAAATCCCCTGCTGTGTCCTGCACCCCAACCCAGCCACAGGTGCCATGCCCTGTGCCACCACGTCACTGAGATCCCCAGCTGGATGGTCCCACTTTGGGCAGTGGGACTTCTCTGTTATTTGGACCCAATGAAGGGTTTGTCCACAGGCTGTGTTGGCTGGCCAGGACGCTGCCCATTTTCTCAAGCAATCACTGAATCACCAAATCATTCAGGTTGGAAAAGTCTCCTACAGTCCCCAAGCCCAACCCCAACACATCCCACAGTGCCCATAACCACATCCCTCAGTGCCACACCTCTGCAGTTCTGGGACATCCTCAGGGCCGGTGACCCCATC